CAGAAGAAAAATTAAAAACAAAATATTTTAGAGAATATGTACCTATCAAATTATGTAACCTATTACATATAAGTAAATGAGCTTAGATGGTTGGGCATGATGGCTCACGTCTATAATCCCAGCACTTTGGGAAGCTGAGGCAGGAGGATTGCTTGAGCCCAGGAGTTCAAGACCAGCCTGGGCAACATGGTGAAATCTCATCTCTTTTTTTTTTTTTTTTTTTTTGAGACAGAGTCTCGCTTTATTGTTCAGGCTGGAGTGCAGTGGTATTATCGTGGCTCACTGCAACCTCCACCTTCTGGGTTCAGGCGATTCTCCTGTCTCAGCCTCCTGAGTAGCTGGGATTATGGCACCCACCAACACACCCAGCTATCTTTTTTTGTATTTTTAGTAGAGACAGAGTTTCACCATCTTGGCCAGGCTGCTCCTGAACTCCTGACTTCAAGTGATCCACCTGCCTTGGCCTCCCAAAGTGCGGGATTTCAGGTGTGAGCCACCCTGCCCGGCCATCTCATCTCCATTAACAGCAACAACAAAAAAATTAATGAGTTTAGATCTTCAAATAATTCTTGTCAAATTGAGTAATTGAGTATAATATGTTAACCATACATAGTTTGTTTTATTTATTATTTATTTATTTATTTAGATAGGGTCTCACTGTCACCCAGGCTAGAGTGCAGTGGCATGATCCTAGCTCACTGCAGCCTTGAACTCCTGGGCTCAGGGGATCCTCCTGCCTCCTGAGTACCTGGGAAAATCTATTTTTAAAAGCAGGTTCCTCATGGATCTCTACTTAGAGAGTTCACAGTTTTTAGCTTTATGTGAATTGCTGCATAAACGTGAAATAAATTCAATTGTATTTTCACAAAAGTATTCCATAGCCTGGGTGCGGTGGCTCATTCCTATCATCCCAGCACTTTGGGAGGCGAGGCCAAAGCGGGTGGATTGCTTGAGCCCAGAAGTTTAAGACCAGCCCGGGCAACATAGCAAAACCCTGTCTCTACAAAAAATACCAAATTAGCTGGGCATCGTGGGGTGCACTTGTGGTCCCAGCTACTTGGGAGGCTGAGGTGGGAGGATAGCGTAAGCCACTGCACTCTAGCCTGGGTGATGGAGTGAGACCTTGTCTCAAAAAAAAGTATTCTTTAATTTTATAAAATTATGTTTTTGTATTTTTCAGGATTAATTTTTCCTGTATTGATTTCTTATGGTGCATGTTATGCATGTTATGGCTTCCCCTGCTCCCCAGAGAACATCTCTTTGTCCACAGCTTCCCACAGAGGAAGCAGGCAGATGTGACCAAGTCTGTCCCACATAACCAAGCCAGGCACAGCTGAGAGGATCAGTGGTGTGTGCTGGACCCAAGGGTAACCAATCCACAGGCTGATTCAACCTAAGAGAAGGGCTGAATTATGGCATGGGAGAGAATCAGTCAGCTGGCGGTGGGTGGATAAGTGAAAATCCCCACAAAAAGAAGCAGAGTAAGTGTAGAAGTGACCGCGAGAGACAGCAAGCCTCTCCCAGTTCCTGACTGTTTACTCTCCATCAGGCCAGCCGAGAGGCTGTACTGTGTATCCTGAGGAAGTTTTGTTTCCCTGTCATATGTAACTTTAAAGTAAAACTCCAAGCTGGGCGTGGTGGCTCACGCCTGTAATCCCAGCACTTTGGGATGCTGAGGCGGGTGGATCATGAAGTCAAGAGATCAAGACCATCCTGGCCAACATAGTGAAACTCTGTCTCTACTAAAACCACAAAAATTAGCTGGGTGTGGTGGCATGCACCTGTAGTCCCAGCTACTCAGGAGGCTGAGGCAGGAGAATCACTTGAACCCGGGAGATGGAGGTTGCAGTGAGATGAGATCACGCCACTGCACTCCAGCCTGGCTGACAGAGTGAGACTCCGTCTCAAAAAAACAAAACAAAACAAACTTCATTCCTGAAACAGCTTGAATGAGACATTTGCAACCTACAACCCCCCAAATCTAGCTAATATGTAGTCTAAAGTTAGACAAAATTGTGGTGTAAATTTCAGAGGCAGTTTGCTAAAAAGAGGTTCAATGTTAACCGTCATCAATTTTAGAAAAAAACATTTTGGGAGACGACATTAGGCCCTTGTATGTGGCTTCAATGGGTTTTTAAAAATTTGTTGACCTACTCTACAGAAACATCTCCTGCTTGCAAAACAAAACAAAATTATGTTGAAGGTATCATTTTTACGATTATTAGGATAAACACCAGGAGGATCTGTTATAATAGTGTTCTTTCAGAACAGGTGGAAGTTTGCTGGCTTGTTTCTACCCCTCAAATTAGGGTCTTCATGTGGATGCCACCTAATCTATAGACCAAAGCATTCCTTAATGCTTAAACATTTTTTCTCCGTTTTTCATTATCAATAAGGGCAGTAGGTCAAACGTTTTGGTCATTTACCTAGGTCCTGGGTTGTCCTGATGATATTGCTTATGGCACAGATTTTGAAAAAGAGCAGCTAATTTTAGTGCAGCAGAAAAATATATGAAAGTGTTGGAACAGGTTGGGCACGGTGGCTCCTGCCTGTAATCCTAGGACTTTGGGATGCTGAGGTGGGTGGATCACTTGAGGTCAGAGGTTCAAGACCAGCCTGGCCAACATGGTGAAACCCCATTTCTACTGGAAAAAAAAAAAAGTTAGCTGGATGTGGTGGTGGGCGCCTGTAGTCCCAGCTACTCAGGAGGCTGAGGCAGGAGAATCACTTGAACCCAGGAGGCAGGAGGCGGAGGTTGCAGTGAGCCGAGATCACACCACTGAACTCCATCCTGGGTGACAGAGCAAGACTCCTCTCAGGAAAAAAAAAAAAAAAAGAAAACGTTGGAACATTGTGTAGAGATGAGCACTAGGTAGGGGTTTGGAAACCTGGATTCTGGTCTTGATTCTAGTGCTTAACAAGCCACGTTATATGGGGCAAGTCCCTTCTCTCTATCTGTAAAAACAAAGGAACTGTGTTCCTGAAATTCTCTGCATTGTATGATCTTCCACAACAAAAATGCAAGCTCTGCTAAAGCAGTGTCGTACGCCTTGTCTGGGACTGAGTCCTAGAATGGTTCCTGGTACCTTGCAGATCTCAGGAAATATTTATTGCTATTGAACAACTCATGCTGTCCATTGGCCATAAAAAAGGCTCTCTTGCATGTATAAAGCCATAGTTATTTTTCAAAAGGCTTTCAGTTAGCAGGCACTCAACACTTATGGGTCTGAAATATTTCATTGGTTCTCAAGGGGAACACACCTTACTTGCTCATACAGAAATACGGGCATGGAGGAGCCTAGTGGATGGGGAAGAAGACAGGCCTAGGAGTCAGAAAATCTGGCTCATCACTAATGACTGTGTGGCTTTGAGTAAGTCATTCTGTTCTCCGAAGTTCTGTTCTCTCATCTGCAAGGTGGGAGGGCTGACTCAGACCCCAGGACCCTTCTGGAGGCACACCTCTGACTCTGGTCCTCTTATTCTTGTAATAGATAACAAACGAGTATTAAAGGCAGATGAAAGGATTGAGAAGAATGTGGGGCTGATGAGGAACAAAGGCAAGACAATTAGCGAGGAGGCACCAGGTCATTAGAGACATCAAGACAGGCAGACTATGCTTTTTATGTTCACCACGTAAAATCCTTTATGAGCATCTGCTGGGGTGGCTCTTCCTTTGCTGTTACTGGCTCAGCAAACAGTTCGTGCCCTCAGCCATGTCTGCTGCCCAAGTAGCTGTCACAGGGAGGTAGCACCAGGACAGGAAGCCTGCCAGCTTGCAAGTCCATGGCAATGTCTGTGTTCATTAAACAGCCCAATAGTGGTGACCCTGAGGATTCGGCTTTAACTTTTGTAGACAATTCTGGGCCTGTCGTATTTTGAGTTCCTTTACAAAAAAATTACTGGATACCTCACACTCGTTAGGATGACCACTGTAAACCAGAAACAGAAACACTCCAGGAAATAACAAATGTTGGTGAGGATGTGGAGAACGTGGAACTCTGTGCATTGTTGATGAGAGTGTAAAATGCTGTAGCCACTGTGGAAACAGTGTGGAAGTTCCTCAAAAAATTAAAAATAGAATTATCATATGATCCAGCAATCCCTCTTCTGGATATACACCAAAATAACTGAAAGCAGGATTTCAAAGAGATTTTTGCACATCTATGTTCATTGCAGCACTATTCACAATAGCCAAGAGGTGAAAGCAATCCCAAATGTCCACTGACAGATAAATAGATAAAGAAAAGGTGGTATAGACATACAATGGAATATTGTTCAACCCTAGAAAAGGAGATCCTGTGACATGTTACAACATGTGACATGGACCTTGAGGACATTATGCTAGGAAAGATAAGCCAGTCACAAAAAGACAAATACTGTATGATTCTATGACATAAGGTATCTAAGTAGTCAAACTCACAGAAACCAGAAGTAGAATGGTGGCTGTCAGGGGCTGGAGGGAGCTGTTTGATGGATTGAGAATCTCAGTTTTGCAAGATGAAGAAGCTCTAGAGAATTCACAACAGTGTGAATATGATTAACACTACTGAACTGTACACTTAAATATGGTTGAGATGGTGAAGTTTATGTTCTGTGTTTTTTTAGCACAATTTAAAAACTGACCAGACACGTAACCCAGTAGTAAGCTGCTACTAACCTCCTTGTCACATTAGAATACCCTTAATTTCTCCAGACAGGGTCTTTTAGTTCTGTGAATAAGAGGCACCAATTCTTTCTAGCGTTGCTAAGAAAGGGAATTTTGCAGTTGCACGAATGAAGAAAGAGACACAGTCAAGGTAGGGTGGCCAGCAAGATTGTAATTATGCTCAAAAGGGTGGTCTTCTGGTGGAGGGTCCATGTGGATGGAGGGGTTAGGAAACAGAAGAGGGGATGTTCTGACTCTTCATTGGCAGCGTGACTCTGTGGGCCCTGGTGGCCTATCAGGGCTATACTACCCAGGATGGTCGGCTGGGTTTTCTCTACTCGTGTTTCCTGTAGATTTATACTCCTGCATCTTGCTGGGGGCTTAGTTTGGCCCGTGGGATGAAACACTCTTGTGTGGGATCAACAGTCTGGAAAGGAATAAATGTCATCATCAACTTCCTGACCAACAAAAGAAAAGATACTCTCCAAAGTTATATTTTTGTTTTTGGAGACAGAGTCTCGCTCTGTCACCCAGGCTGGAGTGCAGTAGTGCGATCTGGGCTCACGTCAATCTCTGCCTCACAGGTTCAAGCAGTTCTCCTGCTTCAGCCTTCTGAGTAACTGGAATTACAGGAATGCACCACCATGCTCAGATAATTTTGTATTTTTAGTAGAGATGGGGTTTCACCATTTTGGCCAGGCTGGTCTTGAACACCTGACCTCAAGTGATCCACCCACTTCAGCCTCCCGAAGTGCTGGGATTACAGGCATGAACCACTGTGCCCAGCCCTAAAGTCATGTTTAAAGTATTATTACCTCACCTTCATTTAACTGTTTGTCAACAACAAAAGAAGAAACATACTGAGCCTACCTGTACCAGGCTATCCCTCAGCCACGAACAAGAATCTTTTTGCAAGCAAGGTTCTTGAATAGCTGATCACTGGAAATTGAAATGAATCAAGAAACTCTTGGAGGGATAATAAAGATGTTTTCATTATGTAAATACCCTCCTGAGGGTTGATTAAAGCACATGATACAGCTATGGCCTGGTCCATGTGCCATTCTAGGAAAAGGCAAATTCTCAGATAACATACCAGAGGGATTAGCTTAGTTAGTGGCCTCATAAATTAATTGAAAAAATGATTTTAGTTACTTTTGATCCCCGTAATGTAAGAATTGTGTCCCAGTGTGATATTTCTGGCTATTTAGGTTTGTATGTCTTCAAGTCTTCACAGCCCCAATGTGAATTACCCCTAAACTACTCAGCAGTGCTCCCTCTGTTTTTGCCTGAAAGGATTAAAATTTGTTCATCCATCTGGGCATCCACACGATGGTGACAGACCCTGCCCAGTTCTTAGGGCAGCCTGGGCTGCTGGAGCTAGACAGGGACTCAGAGAGGCAGTCAGTGGGGATCAGGTGATAGGTTCAGACAATCGCTACTAAAAGCAGACCCCGCACTCAGACATATTTACAATCCTGTATTGTCCCCGAGGCAAAATTCGGTGAGCCTGCTGCTCTTCACCTTCACACAAAAACTTCAAGCTGCCCTTTCTTTCCAGACACACGCACTTGCATCAGAATGCTATATTGTTGCTGGTGATGAAGACTGGGAAGGTTCGGGTGAAGGCTGTCTTGCGCCACCTGGTCTGGCTTAAATGTGGGTGGCTCAAGCTCCACATGCCTTTAGGGATGCTCCTGCTCTGCCTCTCCTCTCTCAGGTCAGTAAAGCCATTAGAAATGAAGCCTGAGGCTGTCCTAAGGAAGGAGTGCTTGCTAGGTCCCTCCTGGGTGAATGTAGGCGAGTCCATTTACCTGCGGCTGAATGGGAGTACCAAATGAAGTTAATGCTACATCCTCCTCAGCTCCATCACTGTCTCGGGCTGAAAGCCAAAGGAGGGAAGGGCTGCGTTAGTGTCCAAGAGTCAATCGGAAACAGCACATGAGGACTACAGGAAAACCCCACGGCTTGCAAACAGGCTCTTCACTCTTTAAAAAGGAATTCTGAGGCCGGGTACGGTGGCTCACACCTGTAATCCCAGCACTTTGGGAGGCCAAGACGGGCAGATCACTTGAGGTCAGGAGTTCGAGACTAACCTGGCCAACATGGTGAAACCCTATCTCTACTAAAAATACAAAAATTAGCCCAGCGTGGTGGTGGGCGCCTGTAATCCCAGCAACTTGGGAGGCTGAGGCCAGAGAATTGCTTGAACCCGGGAGGTGGAGGTTGTAGTGAGCTGAGATCGTGCCGCTGCACTCCAGCCTGGGCAACACAGCGAGACTAAATAAATAAGAGGAATTCTCAGTGGTGGCCGTTATTGAAAAAGTTTATGATTTAAAGGAGTGTATTTAAAGTTGATGTGGAAGGCATGGGTAGCGTGTGGGTGTTTAGGAGAAGCACACTGGTGTCAGAAGCTCACTAGCTCCGAGTCAGTTTCTGCTCTTTCAGTATTACCTGTGTGACCTTGGGCAGCTCACTCTTTTCAACAGTCCCTTTAGGCTTGATTCTCTACAAACTTGAATTCACTATTTCAAAAAAATTTTTATTTTGCCCAGGCTGGTCTTAAATACCTGGCCTCAAACCTCCCACCTGGGCCTCCCAAAGTGCTGGGATTACAGGTGTGAGCCACCACATCTGGCCTGAATTCAATTTTTAAAATTGGACATAATAAAAGAGATCACTTGAGACAACTTTATATTGTTGTAGGATCATCACAGACATAGGTATTTGTTTAATGGCTGTCTCCTCAACCAGCCTGTAAGCTCTGTGAAGACATGAGCTGTGCCTGTCTCTAAGAGCAGGCACTTGCTGGATACCTAGTTGTTTTTTGATGACCACAGACATAACTGTGTTAGGAGGGTTCACACTTAGGGGTTTCATGTTGAGTGGATGGACCCTGGAGAAGGACTGCTTGGCTCTCTCACTTGTGTTCTTTAACCTTTTTTGCCTTTTTTTGGCTTTGTTTCCTGATGGAACTAAAGAAGAATAATGACAGTCATAACAGTAAGTCTATCTCATAGGATTGTTTTGAAGATTCTATAAAAATGTTATATAAAGTCCTTGGAACAGGGTATGCTACATAGAAAACACTCATGAGCTATCCTTTGTATATGATTATTGGTGGTGGTGCTGGTGCTGCAGTTATAACAGATGCTCTGACATCCTCTTCCTAGTGGCTTTTTATTTATTTTTTCAAGGGGCTGATGCTGTGATACATGAAATGCTTATCTTTCCTTCATGGCAGAATTAACTGAATCCTTGGCTCGACTTCATTCCTTGTGTCCTAACACAAGGCTCCTTCACACTCAGTCTCTTGGGAACCAACTTTCATCCAACATTCTCATCAAACCGGATCATCAGTTAGAAAAGCCTAATTCGGCCGGGCGCGGTGGCTCAAGCCTGTAATCTCAGCACTTTGGGAGGCCGAGGCAGGCGGATCACGAGGTCAGGAGATCGAGACCATCCTGGCTAACACGGTGAAACCCCGTCTCTACTAAAAATAC